CCTGCTGAAATTTGGGGAAGGCGTTCGAGACAGAGGTGCCCATGTAGACTGAGGAAAGAACCATATATACACTCAGACAGCAGTTGTGATCTGAAGTGCTTCCTGAGGGAGGCTTATTCTTGGTAATCCTTGGTACATGAAATGCTTGCTTTCTCTGCAGTGTGCTCCTAGGCATGATGTATACAAGCGGCTTCCTGTCTAACTAGCTGTTGTTCCCAGCACTTTTCCCTGATAAGGAGAGTCTTCAAGGTATTGCTTGTGCAACAAAGAGCAGTATCTTGTGAGATTTCTTGAAGAAAAGCTCTGAGCCATTCTAGGGGTTTCCATTTACCCTGCAGTTTCTTCAAGGTAGGACAGAAATGCGGGTCAACAGTATAAGACACAGTAGTAGGAATGTGGCACTGTTACTTTGCCTATGATTAGGAGAAGGTCATCTGTCAGAGAAACAAGTGGTGCACCTGCAATGTGACCTAGCTTGGGGAGATCCAGGCAATTAATAGATAGCATTATGGACATTTTTCTGCTAAAAATCCTTATCTGGTTGATAAGAAAACAGACCTTGGAAGCTACATTCACAGTCCTGCTTCATTCTCACTGTACTTCTGCTTCTAATGTGGATTGGAGTTTTGTAAAATGTAGGGCTACAGATAGATTTCCTTCTTCTGAGACAAGTTGCCTGGTCATCTTCTGTCTTTTTAGCAGGGGCAGGAGCTGGCATTCCCTGGTTCAGCCAGCCAGCCAGGGCAGCTGTCTCGTAGGAGTTTTAGCCAAGCCACTTGTGAGAACATGGTGCAGGATGCTATGAATGGGGGTTTTGTTCTGTTTTGTTCCTGGAGCCCTCTGTAAGGATGCTCTCATCTCTCTTGGCCAGGACTGCTGTGTCCATGAAGCTAACTGGGTTCTCTGCAGGGTGGATAAGTTTGGGAAGGCCAAAATTTCCTCTCTCCTTGTGCTAGAGGAGAGAGGGGCTATTTCTGCCTTCTCAGCAGTGACTGACATGACGACACACTCTGCATCCAAGTGTGTCTACAACCAGTTTCATTTTCAGCTACATGAGTCTTCCATCCTGTTTTTTCCATCTCCCTTGGCGATCTGTGTGGGGCGGGTAGGTGCATTGCAGCTGGCACCTCTACCCCAAGCTGGCTGCCCATCACTGCACTACAGCCCCAGGGGTGCTGCAGCTCTGCCCTGAGCCATGCTGCAGCCTGGAGTCATTTGAGGGCTCCTGCAGGCCTGTGGGAGGTCGCAGGGCCCTGTGCTGGCCCACGCTCAGTCCTGTGGTTTTTGGAGAACGTCTGCAAGGAGCCTTGCCACTGTTTCCCGCCTGTGCCCTGGGCTGTGACTGCCTGACACCTCGCGGGGAGTGGCCGGCCACTGCTTCCCTTTCCCTTCACTGCTGGCAGGGGGTTTCCTCCATGGCTGGAGGCAGCAGGCAGAGAGCGATTATGGGAGCTGCATAAAAGCTGTTTCCCTGTAATGGGCTGCACTCCCGGTGCTGTGACAAACTACCCAGCTGCTCTGGCTCCCTCCCTCCCACTGCCTTTCTCTTTCATCCCATTGCTCCCTCACTGCTTTTCTTGCTCTCTCATCCTCTTTCACAGCTTCCTTTCCTCATCCCCTTTTGGCCTGCTTTTGCCCCCGCTGCACACAGGGAAGGAGAGCAGGGAAACAGCCAGGGCAGAGGCTTGTTACAGCAGGACCTTTAATGCTGGTGTGTAAAATGGAGCACAATAATGTGGGAGACTTCAGGCATGCTCGTGGATGTTATTTTCTGCCTATGTATTTGCGAGTGCTTTGGAGCAGGCACTATGCTGGGGGAAGCTCACTCTCCTAGCATGAGTTGCGCCCGTGCGTGCCCACCTACAAAAGAGTGTGCGCGCGCGTGCATGTGTGCATCAAGCTGTCAAGTCTCACACGCTGAGTGTGAGACTTGCACATTAGGCTTTCTCCTCACACTCCCTTAGGCCTGTGTTTCGTGCACTTGCAGCTCAGCACCCAGTCTGTCCCCTGACGTGTTCCCAAATGCGAGACACTCGCCCTGTCCCATGATGTGACACGGCACTGCTTTACATGGAGGGCAAAGATAGCCACTAAATGGGGCGGGTGTGTGGGGGTGTGTGGTGTTCCTTTCTGCCACGTACTTCGAGGCTTTTGGTGGAGTCCCTCACCACAGGATCTTGGGCAGATGAGGTCTGCAGACACAGGATTTGACCTTCAATGACTGCTGACACAAAAGCCAGAGGAATTAGGAGCCTCCACGCAGACAGGTGTCAGGCATTAACAGGAGATAGGTGTGGAGTTATTTTTTGTCATTGATTTTGCTTTGATTTTATTAATGTATCAGGGTAAACTTATCTGAAGTTTATTAAAGAATATTGACTTTAGCTGTGTCCTTTGCAAGGGTTTTTTCAGTGAGAGTAATAAAGGCAGAATAAATCATTGTCACTGAAGAATGTGGTGGCTAGTCTGTTCTTGAGAGGCAGAATCAACCTCAGGAGCTGAAATCTAGACCAGGGAAGTGGTTGGTGATGGGTTTTGTTGTTTGGTGGCTGTATTTTGGCCAATGTGAGCAAAGCTGGCAAGTCTTCTAATTTTTAGTTTCTAAAACCACTGTCGCTGTGGACTTTGATGGCAATGTAAGCGATAAGGCCAAGACCTGGCTGGACCAGAGGAATGTAATTTCCCCTTGTGGTGAGTCAGAGTGAGCTGAGGAGGATGAAGGACTACCCATATACTGTCTTCCTCATGGCCAAATACACATCTGTAGTTTTGATTTTTAACAGACTCTTCTTCCAAGTTCCTGGAAGTTTCTGGGATGGTACTTGTGGTTTTCTTCTCACTTTAATTCATCACACTCAGACTAAGAGTCTAACATACACAGTTATGGTCCTGACTTCTGTCTTTTGACAAGGGGTTCCCAAACTGTGCATCGTAGTGGTGGATCACAATGACAAACCGATGCTGCCCTATGGTTAGACATCTTATTCTGTGCAAGGATGTAGCCAAGACAGAGCCAAAAACTGTCACTGATCATGGTACCTGTGCAAACAAGTGTCGAAGCCCCTTGTGCACTGGAGCATCTTGTCCCAATCTGGTTCAGTGCCTCTAAATCAAGCCAGAGTCCTAATACTTAACTGACACATTAGATGATGATGCCCAAAATCAAGAAAGGAAATCCCTGGTCTGTTTAAATACTGAACATATAAAAGGTATGTGTGTGGGCATGTGCATGTAACAGACAGCAAGAGGGCTTGACTGATGTTCTGGTCTCTCCGCAGGTGCACCTGCGCTCTGCTGAGCGTCTCCGGGAGCTGTGCTGCGCCAACCGAGGCACCTTCATCAAGGTGGGACAGCACCTGGGAGCGCTTGACTACCTGCTGCCTGAGGAGTACACCCGCACCCTCAAAGTGCTGCACAGCCAGGCCCCACAAAGCACCAGGCAGGAGATTGAGCAAGTCATCCGCGAGGATCTGGGCAAAGAGGTAGGAGCAGCTGTAGCTTGTGTTGGCTTCTCAGGCCTCAGCAAGCCCTAGGCAGCTAGAAGAAAGAAAACAGGAGCAAGGAGGTCCCTGGTGGTTCTCAGTCACGAGAGATACCAAGGGGACATATCTCCTCCTTGCCCCTGGGAGAATGCCACACGCATTTTCCCTGTCCATTGATGGACATTATTGGCTAGCTTAGGAAGGGAGAAGATAACAGAGGATTAAGGGTGTGAGGGCTACCAAGTGGAAATGGCAGAGCTCAGCAGAGCAGTGTACCCCAGAGGTTATGCCAAGACTAACATGCTTGCTGGAGGTCAGGATGGAGGGCTGTCTGCCACACTGAGGGGTGGGAGCTGGAGATGCCGATGTTCAGGACAAAGATGTATTAGCAGGGCTCTGTGAGGGATGACTGTTCTCCCCTGGCTGCACTAGACCAATTCCAGCTAGCACTGACAGCCTTTTACTTTCTCAAGCCCGTAATTAACCCCCTAAAAAAATAATAGCATAAATCACTTTTGGTGCTTGCTGTCAGGTAATACAGTAGCCCAGAAGTGTGTCACCATTAACCCTCAGCAGCCCACAGCACTGAGATCAGAGGTGGATGCCTGTGTTCATTAGATATAAGGGAAGTAACCAGAGTATTTAGAGAGGGTGTTTTGTTACTTTGCATCCTGCCCCTTACAAGAGGTTCCCTCACACTCCAGCCCAGGTTGGGGAGAGGCATTTTAAGGATCACAACTGATATGGTGAGAGGGAGGCAGGAGGCAACAATGTGCAAAGGCAATGGGAGAGAAGGTGGATGTGAGGGAGAGGAAGACAGGAGGCTGAAGAATGGAAACAGCGTGGACATGTGTTTTGGGGTGTTCTGGCATGTGTGACTGTGTGGTGAGGAGGTATGGGGGTGACATGATGAGGTAAGTGAAGTATTTGCACCTAGTGAGTATTTTATGGGTAGATTTGGATGGGGTGGGTCTGTCTGTGTGTAGTTTTAGGGCCTAGGTATTGTCGAGCCAGGAATGACAGCTAATATTTCTCAGCAGTTTAATGGCAGGGTTAATGTCAGCCCCTGACCTGCAAAATACTTCTTCTCAGTGCTGCATCCTTGTAGCACGGCTGGTACCAGCTGTGTTTCATAGCTCAGTGGATAGATGGAGCAGGGCAGGCTGGCTGCTCCCTGCAGACCCCTGCTGCTCTGTGGGCCTCCATCTGGCAATCTCCCCTCTGCAGAAGCCACGGAAAGCCACCTCGAGGTTAGCCCCCATTAAATGACCACAGCCCTGGCTCAGTTTGTGTGACGTCTCTCAGGCTGAGCCAGGTGCTCGGAGGTGGGCCCTCTTCTTTTCTATTGAGTGTGTGTTCGGCTGCCACTGATATGCCCTGGTTTCTTTCAGCTTTTTGGGAGCTAGACAAGCCCTCCACGCCTCATTGATTCCCAGTGAGGCAGCTTGAATCCAGTCTCCACAGCAGCCTTTTCTCTTAGCATTCACTTCACCCACATGGGCAGTGCTGGGTAATATTTAATTTTAAAGAGACAGAGAGAGGGAGAAAAAAAAGGTAGAAATGGGATAGAGAAAAGAGAAGAAAGGGATAGAGAGGAAATGCTAATGAGAGAAAGAGAGTGATGATAAAAGAGAGAAGTGAAGAGAATGGCATGTATAAAATAAAGGAGCTGGTGAAACTGGGCAGTATTAACAGCAGAGGTAAATGCCCGTTTTCATTAGTTACAAGGTACCAAATCAAGGTATTTAAAAGCAAAAAGGATTTGGATAACCTGATGCACCAAAGTCTTGCTGGAGCCCAGAGAATTTAATAGGGTTACTTCAGGAACAAATTTAATTCCAGTGTAGCTACGTTCTCAGTACATTTTAAATACAACATACTTAGCTGAAATATAGATGGCAGAAGGGCAAGGTGGAGTGTCAGAGCAGAGGGGAGTGCAAAGGGGGATCCTGAAACCTTTCCCCTTGGGGCCAGCATCACACATGGGAACTTGCAAATGAATTCAAACAGAAGAGAAAATAACAGTGAGGGAACCTTCCCTGGGCGCCTAGGCCTAACCCTGCTGCTCTCAAATTCAGCGGTAAGACTTCCAGTTCCCCCATCAAGTGCAAGCGCGGGCTTCTCAGATGAATCTCCAGTGTAGGCAAGAAGTAATTACATACAGTTTGGATCAGTGCAGAACAAATGGGGGAAATAGCTACTGGAAATACAGCAATACCTGGGTAGGAATGTGACAAGCTAACAAATTAGGCAAGAGCTTGCAAAAGGGCATGAAGATCAAAAAAGCCAGTTTTGTGTATAGAAGCATTGTATCTTCGGTCAATTGAAATAGTCTGTCTTCTGTTGTGACCTAGTCCTGAGAATCTTATCAGAGCTGTGGATGTTTGACAAATGAAGTCATTTTGTGGGAAAACTGGCGTAAGTGGAGAGCATGCCAAAGGGACTGATCTTTGAGCCAAGGCAGAGGGCTTGTGAGGTGGGTTTACAGCAGTCTGACATGGCTCTGTTGTCACCACGCAGAGCTGCGTGACACCCTGCTTCTAGGGGAACTCTCATTCTGGGCCGGCATCATGGCTGGAGACTGGGAGCTGCAGCATGTAGGTCTGCTGCAAGAGCTAATGGACGGATTTAAAGGCAAATGGCATGTGTGCTGATCTGACGCAGAAGGAGAAGCATCATATATACTGACTAGTGGGGTGCCCTGTCAAACCCTGTTTTAAGTCTGGAGTGAATCTGTGTACCTATCAGCAATCATTGGGATAAAAATAATCAGTAGTGAGCAGATGCTGGCTTTCTTATCTCAGCCATAGTGGTTTGGGTAAGTGACAGTGGGAGGTGATCATTCTCTTGAGTGTTGTATACAAGAGGTTGAGGTGGGGGTGGGATTCTCAGGGCAACATGAGTAGTAGCAGTGGGAGAGGCTGCACAAAGAAATCTTTACAATGACTCCTGGAAACACTCAGCATCAAGATCATAGAGTGAGAATATTTTGGGGAGATGCTGGGGATAACACAGGTAGGGCTTCTTTTGGATGGATTCCTTGGATCAGTTGGGAAAAGCTGTGTGCATAAGAATGGATGATGAGATATGAATGAAAGACTCTCTCCTACCTCTGTTCTCATCTTCCCTGCTTGAACAAGGTTCTGAAAGTGAAAAGGTGTCAGACGTGGAAAACAAACATGGAATGAGTATGTTCCCTACGCCACAATTGTCATTTTCTCTGCAGGGCTATTAATGACACAGGGAAGACAGCTGGTTCAGCTAAGCTCTCTAACTCAACAAGGTGCATGCAGAGCAAAGCCAGGCAACTTTGGACAGCAGACATTTTGGGAGAAAGACTGATGACAGGTTCTGGAAGATGAATCTTTTGGAGTGGCTGCACCTTAAAAAGTGCAAAATTGTGCTTAGAAACTAGAAATGATGGAAGAAATGTTTTACCAGTATTGGAATTAGGGGCATTTCCTCCCTCTGGCAGGTCTGTTGGAAGAGACTGGCTTGTGGCCGTGGGATATAGGGAGGTGATGCCAGTTTGGTCCCAGAGCAGACGTGCAGAACCCAGGGTGTTTCTGAGTTTCGCCAAGTTCCCCCTGACAACCCTTTGGTCTGTCAGAAAGGCTTCCTGTAGGTCTTCCTCTGTGTGATTTCCATCGACGAAGTGTTCAGAGGAGCTTATTGCTCATTGCTAAGACTGATCAGACTATTGTGAAACTCTCCCCTTTCAAAAGTACTTCTGCTTCTCTCTGCTCTGATCAAGGCCATTCCAGAGCATCCTTCCTTATGGGACTGAGTGGCTGCAGAATGACTTGGCAGCTTTTACAGCCCTGCTCTTCCAAATATCTTTGGTGTCTTTCTGTTACCTGGCTCCAGTAGTCCACTGCAGTCCCTAATACGGCTCTGTGGGTCTTGCTTCTCTGCCACTGTGCAACGATGATGTGACATCTCCTGACTTCACTGTGGGCTCCTATCTGTGCCAACACACTCTTTTACCTCTTTCTAGTCCTAAAATACCTCCTGGTTTGCAGTCACCCATCTGATCTGCATATCCCAGTAGGCCACAGCATGGCTCTACCCACTCAGCACCACTGTAATCCCTCTCCTGTGTACAGCAAGATGTCACTTTCCAGAGCCCATTGCTCATTAGCTTCCAGCCCATCCTCACTCATTGGCATTTTGTAATCAACTTTGTGACTTTTTCCCCAAGACTCCTTATTCTCCCCCTCAGTGTGTTTGTGTACTCAATACTCTATGCAGGCTTTTACTCATGTTGGAGGTAATTTTTCTTGGTGGGAGACATTCCCTCCCTGCCCATCTCTCACCACTGTCCTTTCAGAAATATCCCAATTCCTCCACCTGTGCTCCTTTCTGGCAGGTTCTGGTCAGACTGGTCCTCAGGTCCCTACTCCTATGTCTGGTCTGAGGTTGTGCACTTGGGAATTAGGGCAAGGGTAAAGTTAGCATCCCCATGAGGCCAGCCTGGTCTCAGATAGGGTCTTGCCCATGCTGGTGGGGCACCTGCACTGTGTGGCTGCCCAGGTGCTCTGTGTGTCCAGGCTGCACCTTTGCCTGGGGGCGAGGGGCTGGTGTAGGGCACAGGGCCAGCCTCGCCTGCCATGGGAGTGAGGGTCTCTCCTTCCTCCTTGCCCCTTGACTTATCCTCACATCTCTGGCCTCTTGCTAACAGTTGTTGAAGCTGTTGCGAGTTGAGTGGAAATTGCTGAAGTTGAGCAGTCTCAGATGCTATTAAGTGAGGGATCTCAAGAAATCCTGACCAGCTCTCTGCTTGGACCCCAGGTATCCACATCCACATGCACTCTTATACCATTGCTGGTGAGTTTGCTGCGCTCCAGGAAGGCTGAAAGGCAAAACAGGCTCCCACAGGCAGAACACACCGATGATTGAACGTGGTGTTTCCAGTGCTTGCTTTGTTCAAAGCTGGTAGAAAGGTCTGAGGAGAGCCCAAAGGTCGAGCCTTGTCTCTGCTGAAGCCAAATCATATAAAG